GCTTTTCGAAAAATAGGCTGCTATTCGGGGAGTATCAGGCGGGTGACCCTAAGCCATCGTCAGACAAAATTGACTGTGAGTACTGGTACTTTTGATCTAGAAGGTTTGAGAGAACAGAGGTCACATATATCGATTCATTAGCTTGGCTAGAACTCAAAGCTTATGACTCAGTGATCCTCGTATCGCACATGCCTATGAGCTCCCAAAGGGGTACAAAGAAATTTTACCCCTGAGGAGCATGGTACCACTAATTGGCTCAACTATTTATATCTTGCCAGGGGTTGCACAGGCACCTGGAGTTTCTGATCGATCGATAGCCATACAGCATTAAGTCTTCCCAGCATTCCTTCAAAGGCTCCAAAATATAAAAGTAAGTGCCAACCAATCTATTCTGTCGCTCAACGGCGTAGCCCTTCTTCCATCAATACCACCTTGTCTTGCTATTTAAAGTTAAACTCGGCAACTACAGGGCAATTCTTTTGGCATTAGTATATAGTATGTATTAGAAATTGTTAGCTTACTCTTTGAGGACGTCTGTGAAATCAATGATAAGTATAACCTGTCGGTTAAAAGCTTGCAAAATACGAAGACTGCTTATTGGACTGGCCCTATCTGAACTCTCAACTTACATCATACAGCTTGAGGTTGCATACTTGGTTTCGATTTCCTAAAAGCACAGACAGACCGTATTATAATTACTATTCTACTGGTCTTAATTATTATGATTACTAGAACAAGCACTTTAGCATAGGCACGTATCCTAGTTCGTGTAATCCAACTCCTAGTAGAAACGGATACAGCCTCAGTGATTGAAGTGAGAGGACGGAAACTAAGCAAGCCCTGATGTGCTCGGGGTCTCAAACATGTATTTACTCGAAATAACATAAACCCAGATTTCGCACTGAATGAGAAAGTTCGCGATCCAGGTATTTGCATGGACGACGAAGAAGGCGGGTCGAGCATCAGACCAATTTATTTATTGTTCTGAGTTTTCGGGCTCTTACAGGAGTCCATCTTCAGAGATGAGAAAGCGACCAAAAAGAGGGTAATTATAGTGATCATAGGCCAATCAACTGTCATAAATCATCAGGTTGTCAAGGGGTTAGAAACAGCAATCGAAAAAAGGATGGAGGAGGAGGTAAATTAACTGTCAGTGGAGTCGAAGGGCAATCCTTGTTGAGATCAAGGGGGTATGAACCCCAGCGTTGATTTCTAGTCAGCGCCATTTCTGACTAATATAAGCGTCAGAAATGGTACCAGTAATACTAAGACTCATCTACATGGTTAGTTAGTAGTAGTAGAAATAGTAGTAGCCGTATACTTTTCGGCTTCCTTGAGCCTGTCTTGACACCTACCAAGGGTGAGTGAGGGTAGGTAGTGC